TTAACATGTCGGCAAAAATAGATGTTTTAATAGGGGCTGACTTATTTTTTAACTTACTCTGTGTAGGGCAAATTAGGTTAGGTATGGGGAAACCGCTGTTACAAAAAAGCGTTTTCGGTTGGATCATATCAGGACGTTTAGTTCATGATAAATCAAGCACAGCTGCTCAGTCGTTTCATTTGTTAGCCTCTCAAGATGTACAAGAACAATTGGAGAAATTTTGGCATATCGAGGAAGTAGCCACAGCATCGCATTATTCAAAAGAGGAATCAGATTGCGAGCAACACTTTGTAGATAGAGTCACTCGGGACTGTTCTGGTAGATTTTGTGTAACTTTGCCGCTGAAAGATAATAGCAGCAAGTTAGGTAATTCTTTAGAAAATGCTAAAAGTAGATTTTACTCTTTAGAGAAGAAGTTTGCGAAAAATGCAGTCCTCAAAGAAGAATATTCAGCATTTATTCAAGAATATATCGATTTGGGACACATGAGTAAAATTGAGATTCAGAATGATTCTCTAAATAATATATGCTATTTACCACATCACGGTGTCATAAATGAAGGTAGTACTACTACAAAGCTACGTGTGGTGTTTGATGCTAGTTCAAAAACCTCTAGCAATTTTTCATTAAATGATGTATTGATGGTTGGGCCATGTATTCAAGATGATCTGTTTGATATCTTGATTAGATTTCGACAACATAGTGTAGTATTGACAGCAGATATTACAAAAATGTACCGACAGGTGAATGTTGATGTTCAGCAGCGTGACTTACAAAGAATATTGTGGCGCGCGGATTCTGATTCAGAGCTTGAACATTATAGACTAAATACATTAACGTATGGTACTGCACCTGCGGCCTTTTTAGCGACTAGATGCCTCGTGCAGATTGCCTTAGATATTGAAGATAGATTACCAGAGATAAGCAAGATAATAAGAAAACAGTTTTATGTAGATGACTTAATCTTAAGTGTAGAGTCAGTTGAAAAGGCTATAGAGATAGCAAAATGCATTTATGAAGAACTTAGTAAATACGGGTTTCCATTACGAAAATGGTCTTCCAACTATAGAGAAGTACTGGATGGTCTTCCCTTTGAAAAAGCAGATAATATGGGGTATATTATAGCAGACAATGAATGCAATAAAACATTGGGAATATTTTGGAGAGCAAATTCTGATGCGTTGCAATATGTAGTGGAGAAACGATTTATGAATTATGCTGATGTAACAAAGCGTGTGATATTGTCGATAACATCACAAATATTTGATCCGTTAGGCTTACTGAGTCCTGTCATCATAAGAACAAAAGATTTTGCTACAAAGATTTTGGCAGTTGAAATTACTTGGGACGAAACAATTCCGATAGATTTGGCTACAACATGGAATGAATTTTATAAGCAATTTGCATGTCTTAATGAAATCAGGATTCCCAGGCAAATTGCAATATTAGATGCTGTTAGATTTGAGATTCATGGGTTTTCTGATGCCAGTGAGCAAGCTTATGGTGCCTGTTTGTATCTTCGTTCCATTAATGCAGCTGGTAACATTCTAGTACGTCTGATTTGTGCCAAGTCTCGTGTAGCTCCGATAAAGCAGATTAGTTTACCGCGTTTGGAACTATGCGGAGCTGTGATATTAGCTCGTTTAACAAAAAAGGTTATTGCTGCGTTAGATATAAGTCCTGATGATATATATTTGTGGACAGACTCTACAATTGTGCTGGGGTGGATTGCGGAACAGCCAAGTAGGTGGAAGGTTTTCGTGGCTAATAGAGTCGCAGAGATACAAGAACTCACTACAGGTTATTATTGGAAACACGTTGAATCTGCCGACAATCCAGCTGACATCATATCGAGAGGCACACAACCTATATTGCTTAAAAACTTAGATTTGTGGTGGTTAGGACCTCCATGGCTTAGAGATAATCTAGACAAATGGCCAAAAACTGAGCATAATATGTATACAAGTTCTATTCCTGAACAACGAAATGTTAAGTTTACTTTTACCAGCGTACTTATCGATTCTGAAATTTTTACACGGTATTCTTCATTATATAAATTAGTTCGGATTGTAGCATTATGCTTTAGATTTAGTAAAAACTCCAGGTGTACGGTAGGTAACAGGAATTTTGGTGACATATCAAATACAGAATTTGACGAAGCATTGTTAGCTTTGATAAAGGTTATGCAAGCCCAAGAGTTCAAAGACGAAATACTAGCTATACATAGATCTAACGATTTACCAAAACAAAGTACGCTTAGGTCACTTGATCCCTTTATCGATGCAGCGGGTATTTCGCGCGTGGGTGGGAGACTTCGCAATTCCAACGAAACGTACGATGTCAAATTTCCCATACTTTTACCTCAAAGACATCCATTGACTAGACTGATAGTATTAGATCAGCATCACAAACAATTGCACGCAGGGCCACAACTAATTTTAGCCTCTTTACGACAGCGTTCTGGCCGATAAACGGAAGACGTGTGGTTCGAAGTATGTTAGCGAGATGCGTAACCTGCTTTCGAGTCAAGCCTGGCAGTATTAAGCAAAAAATGGCTGATCTGCCAGAAGACCGAGTAAGGTCTAGTAGACCTTTTCTAGTTTCAGGCGTCGATTTTGCAGGTCCGTTCAATCTAAAAGACGGTAAACTACGAAATCGCGCTATTATAAAGAGTTATATGTGCTTATTCGTATGCTTGTCGACCAAGGCAGTGCATATAGAGCTCGCAGGCGATTTAAGCAGTAGTTCATTTTTAAATTGTCTAAAAAGGTTTGTGTCAAGACGAGGTATATGTACTCGAATGTATTCCGACAATGCAACTAATTTTGTTGGGGCGAATAACGAGCTGAAAAAAGTAGAAAACTTTTTAAAATCCGTGGGACAAGATAAAGAATTTTATAAATTTTGTCAGCAATCCCACATTGACTGGCGGTATATTCCTCCTCGATCACCTCATCACGGAGGTCTCTGGGAATCCGCTATTAAATCAGCAAAACATCATATAGCGCGGGTTATAGGTAATACAATTTTAACTTTTGAAGACATGAGCACCGTGCTTACACAGAAGAGGCGGTTCTAAATTCCCGACCCCTAACCCCTCTATCCTCTAATCCAAATGACTTCCTTGCTCTTACGCCTGGTCATTTCCTCATCGGAGACGCATTAAACGCACTCCCACAACGATGTGTGAAAGAAGAGTTGTCAAATCGTCTAGATCAATACCATTTGATTCAAAAGATGTACCAGCAGTTTTGGTCAAGGTGGTCATCAGAGTATCTAGCGGTTCTACAGCAACGTATGAAGTGGAAGAAGTCCTGTCAGAACTTGGAAGTGGGCACTATGGTCATTCTGAGGGAAGAAAACGCCGCACCGCTGAATTGGAAGCTTGGACGGATCGTCGAGCTTCACCCAGGACAGGATGGATTAGTGCGAGTTGTTAGTGTGCGTACTAGTGCCGGAGTGATAAAGAGGTCGGTACAAAAGTTATGCGCTCTTCCAATCGAGGTCGACCCTTCTAAAACCATCTCATAGGCTTAGTGCGAACCAACAGAGGCTTAATTAATTATCTTATCATTGTTAGCCTCAATTTAGCTATATATATTTTTTTTATACAATATTTAAGATGTTTACATATCTAGTGTTAATTGATATGTTGTTTGTAAAACCATTAGTTGTAGTAGTTTTATGTTTTGAAAAGTTAATCTTTCAAGGCCGGCGGTTATGGTCGGATTTAAAAATACGTGGCAACAGTGGCAACGTTGGAACAGTTGACGCGCACTATATTCCTACGAGATACGAATCGACACCAGCCGCCGAGCTAAGCGTCCATGTTGAATGTACAAGTTCCTCAATTAGTAAATACAGTCCATATTTAGAAAGTTAGTTTTATTCATTATCATTAGTCAACAAGAGAAAATACCGGTGAAGTTCGTCACCAAACACATATTAATAAGGCACCTCCACAATTATTAAGGTTAATATACCGGGTGCGTCTCAAAAGTGGCTCACCCCTATAACTTTTTTATTTTTATAGATAAAAAGACGAAATTTGTTATGTTAGTACATGACATAAATTAGGATTGATTGACGTATTCAATTGTTTTTGGTCACCACCTGTTTCACCGGAAATGACTACAGCTTTTGATTTTTAAATGGCACCTGTAGTATATTTTTACTTTATTCAGTAGAAAATGTCACTATGAATAGAATGACATATCACATGTTAACTTTTAACATTTTCGCTTAAAAAAATCGTATTTTAAATTTCAATCTAGGGTGCCCATATGGCTTTTAACCAAGGAGACTTGGAAAAGTAGATTTGATCGTCTAATGTTTTCGTGTTTTGTCCTGGCAGGTTAAAAGATGCCCAAATCGTATTTTTAATCATATCTCAATTTTTTCAAATGGAACAAGGGTGGCTCATTAGCGTATTCGGAAAAAGCATTTTTTTACGAATAATTTGATACTCCACACTTGGTATTTCGAGTCAAATTATCGTTATGAAGTCAAAAGTTGACATATAATTTATTATTATAATATTAATTAATTATTCAGAGTATCATTTTCTATCGAATAAAGTAAAAAAAAATACTAAGGGTGTCATTTAAAAATCAAAAGTTGTAAAATTAAAACAGGAAAGTGACCAAAAACAATTGAATACGTTAATCAATCCTAATTTATCATATACTAGGTTAGGTTAGGTTAGGTTAGGTTGCTGGGGTTTGGGATCATATTTGATCCCTCACTCGGAGGCCTTGGGCCCATTGCGATACCCCTGTATTGTTTTACCAAACCTTCCTCTCATTCTTTCTTTGCGTTAAAGCACTTCCAGCTCTTATATATATATATATATATATTTAGAAGTTTTAGCTAATAGCCTGACGCCATCCCGTAATTCCTTAAAATATACCATTCTTATAGTTGCTTAAATTTATTTAAATGATCAAAAAAAGTTCCATTGCCCCTAGACATTCCATCTGGGCATTACTTAAAAAACTTACTTTTCAAGAATTTTCTCTGCTTTAGCCTTTTTTCTACTTTCATATCTTTTTTGTCTGTTTTCATCAATATAATTTGCAGCCAAGTTGACATCACCTCCAACAGCTCTCAATCCAACTCGAGCCTCGGCAGTTGAATATCCTGAATGCTTTTAAATTTAATATTAAGAATATAACAGGTTTTAAAATGACTAAAGTTGTTTATAAAAACATAAATAAATTACATAATATTATCTTTTATACCTTTTGTACTAAAAAATATACCTACCTAGTTCTATCAAAGCTGTAATACTGTTTTCATCTACTTTTAACTTTAACAGTTCTTGCTGTACTGCTTTTAATAATACTAGAGATTCAGATCTTTTATTTTGGTGGTATAGTACGACTGCTTGTAAGAGATGCAATCTGGCCAACAAACATGCTTCATTGCCTATTACAAAATTTGACATGAAAACTATATAACACAATTTCTTTCAAAAAAGTTCCTAACCTGATGAACCCTTAACAGCAATAAGTCTTTCCATATTGGAGCCGTATGTTTTCTGAAATTTCTCGTGGCATTTCTGTAATCTTTCTTCGGCTTCGGGAAGATGCGAAAAACTCTGAAGACATAAGTAACACCAAGCAATATCTAGGTCTAACAAGGCATAATTATCCACAGAACTCAACAAACCTGAGCTGCAATTTCTGAAAATTAAATATTAGGGAATTTATGTTGTGCAGAATAAAGTAACAGGCGCGTTTACGTCAGTCCAGTCAACTGATCGAGTCACTTGAATTAATTTAGTATGTGTGGAGACCTGACAATGACAAATTAGAGTACAACAAACAGTATACAGGGTGGTCAGAATTGTATTCCGGAAACTTCGGCAGCATATTCTGTGGAAAAAAAATAAGTAAAAAAGTTCGTATAACTATATGTCCTAAAATACTTACTTTCGGAGATACAGGGTGTAAAAGTTTCATTTTTATTTCGATTTTTTCCAAATAATTTCTGAAGTAACGTTTCAAGTAAGTTTTAATTTGGATGAAAATTGGTGTCTGGGAGTTTTTTGACATGAGAAATTTGATTTTGATGTCAATATGACTCCTACTAGTAGAGGGCGCCACCTACATATTTTTTAACTGGTTTGAAGAGTAATAAGTTTTCGTCCGTACCTGTATAAAACTACTGAGTAAAAAATATACATTTACGACGTTTTTTACGTGAAAAAGGTCTCTTGGTAAAAATCGCTACGAGTAATGGTTTTCGAGATATTTGAAATCAAAATTATCAATACCTGTCATCATTGACATAAATTAAACATGTTGATACTAAATAGTTATTAGACTGAAATCATAAATTTGAAAGGTTTTTGTGCCAAAAGTTCAATAGAAACTGTTTTATCATCATTTTTTAGAGAAACTTATGATTAATAAAAAAAAATAAAAATTTCCCAAATCTACTATTTCAGTGAAATAACTATCTACTCAACGTGTTTATTTTTCGTCAACAATGCCATGTATTGTCTATTTCCATTCTAAATATCTTAAGAACGGCTGCTCGTAGCGATTTTTACAAAGAGATATTTTTTACGTAAAAAGTCACACAAATGTATATTTTTTCGCTCGGTAGTTTTATACAGGTACGAACAAAAAGTTATTACGCTTCAAAACAGTTAAAACACATGTAGGTGGCGCCCTCTACTAGTAGGAGTCATATTGACACTAAAATCAAATTTCTCATGTCAAAAAACTCCCAGACACCAATTTTCATCCAAATATTGACATTACTTCAGAAATTATTTAGAAAAAATCGAAATAAAAATGAAACTTCTACACCCTGTATCTCTGAAAGTAAGCATTTTAGGACATACATTTATAAGAACTTTTTTACTTATTTTTATCTGCAGAATCTGCTGCCGAAGTTTCCGGAATACAGTTCGGACCACCCTGTATAATACCACAGTTTAAAGAATATAAATATATCAGTTGACCCACTCTTCGCCCGTATCAAAATTCCTCCCGCCGCTCCGCGCCTGTCTTGTAGACTTGGGCCAGTCTACATCCGTTGCTAGACGTGTACACAGCGTTCCAAGTTTATTTTAGTTTTGTTTTCGGTCCGACGCATAGGGTGAACCAAAAATAGTGTTTTAGTTTTGTTCGAATTGTGAATAAAATGTCTACTAGAAATATTTGTGCAGTGGATGGTTGTGAAAGTAGAATGACAGACAATATATCGTTCTTTAGGTGCCCAAAAGATGAAGGAAGTTATGTGTTTATATAGTATATTAAGTATATAATAATTAAAGTATTAGACATATTAAGTATATTATAATTATGGAAACCTAACTATGAATAAATTGTTTTAAAAACATACATATAAATTAAGAAAAGATTTTACTCGAAATATGCACAAAATATTTATTTTTAACAATTAGTTTATTATTTTAGTAGATATTTTAGTGTAGTATGTAGTAAATACTTTACTATTATGTTTTGGATTTTGCAGTATTTACCGGTTTGCAAAGTGCATATTAAATTATTTTTTAAGATATTTGCATTTTTTTTAAATAGCATGTTTTACTTTTTAGATGTTTGTATTCAACTTTAACTACCTACCTGGAAAGTCCAAATTTTATCGTCAGGTAATAAAAATACGTGCATACAACTTGTTCTGCTATTGACGCTATTACTGCTAAGTTTTTTAGAGTTTTTACTAAATTTTATGTAACAGAAAAAAAATTTACACAATTAACTACTCACAATCATAATTACTGTTCATGATAATCATAACATTTAGAAAAAAATCCAAAAAAATTGACAATGGCAACACAAGTTGTATGAAAAGGTACTTTTATTACCTTACGATAAAATTTGAGCTTTCCGGGTAGGTAATTAAAGTAAAATGCAAACAACAAGCAAAACATGCTATAATTAAAGAAATATGCAAATTATTATTATATATATTAAAAATATCAACTTATTATATTTATTTAGTATACATTTTTCATATGGGGTTTCCATAATAATTATTAATAACAATTACCCTACTGACTTTTTCCGTATTCTAAAGAATTAGGATAGAATAATATATCTAATATTTTAATATTAATGTATTCACCATAATATGTATAAGTAGAGTCTGCTAAGGAAAATAACTTGTAGGTGTTGAGCCTGGAAAAGTGCCTTAGGATTTATAGGATCCCACAGATATGCTGTTAATCAATAAAACTAGTACTGTATTTTTATTTTTCTACTTGCTATATTAAAATTCTTTAGTATTTTTAGTTGATCCCTCGTATACGGCCAGCGTTCTGACTGATAAAATATCACTTCCGCTGGACCCGATAAACGTATAAATTTCTGGTCACCTCGAAGGGTCACGGGCCGCCTTTGAAGTCAAAATAACAATAGAATTCCTTACAGTGGGCCAACTGGTATGTATTCTTTAAACTGTGATAATACATTCATCGAATTAGTCAATTCGATCTGTGATCTATTGCGTGGTGGGAGGTAGACAATGAGATGCAGCAACGACAAGGTAGTGAAAATTTCTAGCTTAAGCCCGAGTAGAAATGGCGTTACGCATGTATCTTGTTTTTTAATTTTGGGTGCAGCTTTTTCCAACAAAAAAAAATAAATTAGTTTGCACCCGTCCTTAAAACATTTCTGTATTCTTTAGAATCTCCTAACCATAGCTTAGGTATTAAATTATTAGATGCGCCATAATAAGTAGACTGTAGCTAATCCATTTTCTCATCCATCAATTCTTCTTTTATTATGATTTATGCTCCTCACTCTCCGAAATGGTCAGAGATAAAAGGTGGCTTAAAATGGGCCAAAATTGCCTGTTAATGAGGCCAATGAAAATCCATTTAGTAATTAAATTTATCTTTCTCGTTTCCGGAAATATGACGAAAAAAATTAAATTTCCGGTTTTCGTTTTTATTTTTTACAAGTTTATTTTGACAGAATTTTTTTTTAAATACATTCTGAAAGAAACGTTTTAGTGACGTCAAATACAGGGTGTCCCAATATTCCGAATACTATGTATTTACACTACTATATATTTACACTATTATGTATTTTTGGAACCAAAATAAGTTTGTTGGACACAATTTACCTCTATATAAAAGCGCTTCGTTTGTCCACTAGAGGGCATCAAACTTTAAAAACGTAAAAACATTTGTTCAGATATTTTAAGAACCGTTAGTCCGATTTAAATGAGATGCCTATGCTTTGCTAAGTGCTTTAACAAATGGCTTTCACAAAAATCAAGAAAATGTAGGGGAAAGGTGAAAACTACCCCTACCCCTAAATAGATTTTAGTATAAATATTTTCCAACTCCACTGACGACAGATTTTCTTTCCATAAAATGATCAACTGTTGACAATTGACAAATTTCTGTTAAATATGAAAATAAAACTAATTCTGTTTATATAATTAGGTAAATTATGTTGATATTTTAAATGTTTAATAAAACAAAACGCGTAACTGTTATTTATGTCACGATTGAATTCAAATCCACCAATGTGCGCCGTATAGCGTTAGTCTGAGGATCCTTAATTATTACCTAAATTCATGGTCAGCTTCAAGATAGAAAACTAAAGCTGTAGAATAATCTTCTCTTTTTAATGCAGCTCTTCCCTTTTCATGTAAAGTCATTGCCACTATCAAAGCTTTCCTTTCATTATTAGGTATTTTAATTGGATTACCAAACTGATCTTCTAACTAAAACCAATATAAATATGTATTAAATATCTAATAAAATTAATAATAACCCTAATCTCACATACGTAAATGGATACACATAATGAATAGATTATCAAGCAGAGCTGCAACAAGTCAGTTTCAAAAAGACCTAAATCTTAAGTCATTTGTAAAATCAAAAAGATTTAAATATTAAGTCAATTTCAGTATGACGTTATCTTAAGTCTTTGACTTAATCATTTTCTTTCAAGTCAAGTCATATTCATAAAGACTTAAATCAGTATAATTACCGCCAAGGCGAGATAGTCAAAATACAATTTAACTACGTATTTTTTAAATGTTAATATAAATTTTCTCGTATACTACGAATTGTTAATTTATTACCTATATTACTAATTTATTTTAGGTACAGATGAGACAAACCACTTAAAAAAACGGATTATTTTCAGAATAACTACAAACAAAAAGAATTAAAAAATATGAGTAATAAGAACATAACAATTAACGAACATAACGATTCTGTAGTATCTTTCATCTATCCATTACAATTTAGATGTGGTGGTGATATGTTTTGATCACTATGCAATATGTCTATGGCATAATTCAAGCTGACTGGAGTAGGTTGGTGCTTTTGATTTGCTGGCTGGATGTCGGCCTGACAATTCAAAAGGAAATGCTACTATTAAAAAATTCGTCATAAAAATATATTATGAAGAACTAGCTGACAAGACAAACGTTGTTATGCCAAATAAATTATTCCTAGGATTATTCCTAAGATTATTTTAGTAGAAAAAAAATTGTGGGTGCACTATGTGCATTGAGTGTTATTTGAAGTGAAACTTTTTACTAACATCTATTAAATTGAAGGATTTGAAGGACCAGTTTGAAGACCAGTTGGACCAATTTTGGACCAGATGTTGAAAAAGTAATAAATTAAAAATTAATAAATAACTTGATTCAGTTTCACAAAATTTGTATTAAAATGACCGTCTGTCCGTCTGAGGACTCCATTGGGGTATTCTTCTGAAGTCAGTTGGAATAGATTAAGGGTCTTCATTTCGGCACTGTCTTTGTCGGCATAGGCTGGAGAAATGAATTAAAGCCATTAATACATATTCTGAGAACGGTTCTCAGAACAGCGAATGTCGCCAGCGACACAACACATCAAATGAACCAATGAGATTCGTACAAAATTCAAACAGCTGTCAATTTTGAATTTTGTGCAAAGCTCATTGGTTCTTTTGACGTGTCGCTCGACAATACCGATGTTCTGAGAACGGGGCTCGTAAATACTATACCTCTATCCATGCCGAGTTTGGTTCAAATCGACCCATAGTTAAGAAAAATCCTGATGATTTCGTCCAATTAGAGGCATCATCGGTTCGATTCATCCTGTAGCCCGTCCCCGATTATGCCGAAATCGACCCATATCTTTCTTCAATATCAAATCCTTAATCCCACCCTGATTAAGATGTAAACGAAACGTCGCGCGTCGTATCCAACTTTGCATGGTGGGACCATGTGCACCGTCGCCAAATTTAGTCGCGATCGGACGACATCAACTTTTGACGTTGTTTACGTCAAACCTAACTGTCACAAACGGTCAAGTTAGCCTTGGTCCAATCTATTCACATACCAAATAGTTCAAGCCCCATCTACATTCGAGTTTCAGCCCCCTAGCACACATAGGGCCCGAGTTACGACGCGACGCTCCAAAGTCCCATCTCAAGTTTTTCATTGGCTTACCATTTTTCGATCGTTACCACTTTTCGTGACGCGTGTCGTGACGTTAGCTCGTGTGTCACGGCCTTGAATTTTTACTCCCAACGCGCGTAAAGAAGTTTCACTTGACAAATAACTAACTTATTGTCAGTGTGTGAGGATATGGTATACATACAGGGTGTCCCAGGTTGAGCGTGCATTAGAAGTTTCTAGAGAACTACAATAACTAGATCGGAGATTTTTTGCACATTAATGTTTCGTAACGAGATCTATCGATTAAAAATATTTTCAATATGGCGGTACTTCCGGAAATACCGGAAGTTGACTTTAGGTATTTCCGGAAGTACCGCCATATGGAAAATATTTTATTTTATTATTTATAGCATTTAACAGATGAACATATTTCTAACCAGGAATATGAAAGAGCTCTTAAAGTTTGGTAATTATTTGAATGTGAATGTATAGGACATTATTCAGATATATATTTGCTGTCTGACACATTGCTTTTAGCTGATATTTTCAAAAATTTTCGAAAAACATGTTTGTCTACATATAAACTAGACCCTTTGGAATAGATTAAGTTTACTTTTACACATTTCCCGGTTTTCACTTTTACACCCCGGTTCACACTTTTACACATTTCCCGGTTTATCATGGGAAGCTTGTTTACGTTATACAGGTATAGAATTGGAATTACTGATAGATCCAGATATGATACATTTTTTCAAAAATAGTGTTCGTGGTGGTGTAAGTTCATGCATTACTAGAAAATCTGAGACAAATAATCCCTTTCTTTCAAAGTTTGATGCAACAAAACCTAATAAATATATAATGTACTATGATGCAACAAATTTGTACGGTTTTGCAATGTCCCAACATCTTCCAACAGGTGATTTTGTATGGTTAACAGATCTAGATATTTTTTCAATTTCTAATACATCTAGCAAAGGATATGTTCTAGAAGTTGATTATCCTGAACATCTTCATGACTGTCATAACGATTTTCCTTTCTGTCCAGAAAATTATCAACCACCTAATTCAAAATCTGCAAAATTAATATCAAATTTGAACAATAAATCAAAATATGTAATTCATTACCAATTATTAAAACAATGTTTGTAAAACGGACTTAAGTTAACTAAAATCCATAGTGTGATACAATTTTCTCAATCTGCTTGGTTGAAAAAAATTATAGATTTAAACACAAAGTTACGTAATGAGTCTAAAAATGAATTTGATCGTCACACGTTTAAATTAGCAAACCATAGTATATATGGAAAAATAATGGAAAATGTGGATAGGAGAGTTGATGTAAGACTTGTTACAGAATGGGAAAAAACAAAAGAAAAGATGGAGCTGAAAATCTCATTGCAAAGCCGTATTTTAAAGATTTAACTATTTTCTCAGAAAATTTGGTAGCCATCCAAATGCAAAAAATATTGATTACATACAACAAACCAATATATGTTGGCTTTTCCATACTAGATATTTCAAAAACGGTTATGTATGATTTCTATTACAATTTTTTAAAACCTTTGTATAAAGATAATGTATCTCTTCTGTATGCAGACACTGATTCATTTATACTTGAAATTACAACAAATAATGTTTATCATGATATGCACAAAAATATTCATAAATTTTGATACCTCCAATTATTTGCCAAATAATATACATGAGATGCCTATAAAGGTGCGTATTCATTATCCGAACGAACGAACGAATGTTCGCTAGTGGTATGGACGGGGACCGTACGATAGAACCGCACGAGAGACCGGACGCGAATGCGTTTGATGTACCGACTCGAAACGGATGGTCGAGCGAACGAACGAACGAACGGCCGCATGCGTTCGGTCCCCGTCTAAATATACCGCACTTTCATTGGTTCGTTCGTTCGTTCGTTCGGATAATGAATACGCACCTTAACACAATCAGTGGTTGGTAAATTTAAGGATGAATATGCTGGTGAACCCATTGAATCAATTAGATTTTATTCATTCTAAAGATGTAGTAGAAAATAATTCTAATTTTTTTTGCTCCATGTATGTTTTTCGTTCTAGACTACATTCAATTTTTACCGAATTAATACATAAAATTGCATTGAATTCGGAAGATAGTAAAAGATATCAAATTCCACATGATTTTAAAACACTTGCTTGGGGTCATCATGATATTTCATTTTACCAATGGAACGCAGATAATCCAAACCTCAATATATTTTTTGAATAATATAATATATTTATTTTTAGTTTAATATTTAGTATAAAACTCTTTAATGGTATGCAACATCAGACTTTATACAATTGATTATGAAAAGTTGAACTTATACTTATTAAAAATATAATGTATTAAATACTTATTAAAACAAACATAAATAACATTCCCTCTGGAATGATTTAAATTTAGTTTATAATTCCCCTTTAGAATGTTTTAAACTTGTAATAATTTACAGATATTAGATATAGAGTAATACAGGAACAAATATATTTTTATATATTTTAGTTTACATATTAAATAGTAATCTAGGTAATAATACATTTTAGAATATGATTTAAAGTTAATTTAAAATTCCCTTTCAGAATGTTTTAAACTTGTCATAATTTATAGATATTAGTTATAGAGTTAGAGGAACAAATATATTTTTATGTATTTTAGTTTTACATGTTAAATGGTAATCTAGGTAATAATGTATTTTTAGACTGTAGTGACTCATATAATTTTGTTAAATAAGTAAAATACAGGGTGGCGCACCTCATTCGCCTCGGTTGATTATACAAAAACCGAAGGATTTAGAAAGAAAATATTTTATGGGTATACGTAGAGAGGTAATGTGCATAATTTAAAATTATTTTAAAATGTACAGAGTGTGTCAGAACTAAGATCCATACCAAAGTTATATTTTTTCTTATGGAACACCCGATATTTTATTTCATTTTTGGATTCTTGGACATAAAATAAGAAATTTATTATAAGGGTTTAATATGTTTAAAAGCTTTAGTTTTTTAAATATTTAAAGATATTTAAATATGCATGCTATAATAAAAATGTTTGTCAACACCCCCCTACATTACTTTTCAGAGTTAATTCTTGTGCTGACTTTGAAGCCAGTGAAATAAACTTTACTAAAAAAAATATTCCTTCCTTAAATGTATACAGGGGTATCAAAAATTGCTGGTCTATTTTAAATATTTACTTTACATAAAAACTTCGTTATTTTAAATACAACACTATGTATTTTTTGAATAAGTCGAAGCAGATTTAAATGCTCTTTCAAACTATATTAGGGTTTCCTATACCTA